CAACCTCGTCTGCCGGTTGAGCCAAAGATGCGCCAAAGAGCTGTTTTCACCGGGGGGGCACCTCGCCGGGACTTCGGAGAGGGGGCTAGGAAATAACGCTCGCCAGCCGAGGGTGCCCTTTCTAGGAAGAAGCGCGCTCGCTGAGCCTGGAGACCAAGAGGGCGCGGGAAGTCCTTGCGGAAAAGGAGCCGGCGCGTGCAGCCGCCTCTGCCCTGCCAAGCCCGGATCCTCCTCCGGGACTTTGGCTGAGAGCGGGGAAAGTCCCGGGGAAAGCCTGCGGTGGGAGCCGCCTCTTTCCCCCGCTGGCGCTCGGCGAGAGAAGCCTTTCCTTTTCCAGACCTTTCTTCCGAAGGGTTTCTTTGAAGGGTTGCGGCGAGAGGAGGGAAGGGCGCTGCTTATGCCCTAGACGCCCCCAGTGCAAAGGGGGTGAAAGCTGGGGGGGCGGGCGGGAGGACCAGGGACAGCGGGTGCAGGGGCAGAGGCCAGCCTGGCCCTCTCCCGCAGTTCCCAGGCCCGCTCCGAAAGTGCCGCAGCAAAGACGCCCCTCGGAAGCCCAGCCGTGCTCGGTTACCTGAAAGGAAGCATCGGGCCGGCCCGCTTCAGCTTCTGCTCTGGGGGCAAGTTCTGTAGCCAGTTCTGCTCACCTCCTGAAGGCCCGAAGTTCAGCGGGCGGGAAACGCTTGCCAAGAGCTTTCCTGGCATCTCCAGCTCGAGGATCTTGCCTCCCTGGGCTGGGAAAATCTCTCCTCTGCCGGAAGAGTCCAGATATCCCGAAATAAGATCGATGACTCCACGTTTTGAACAGGGACATTCTCTGTTTTTTTTACCTTTTCTTCTTTTTCACCTTAGAGCGGGAGCCAGAAGCATCTTCCAAGCATATGAACTTTCTAGTCTCTGTGGACTAAACTAACTCATGCCCAGAGATGGCTCAAAGGAACTTTTCTTGCCATTCTCTTCTGAGAAATGAAAGCTGCTTTGCACATCAAGGAGAGCCTTTGAACTTGTTTGGAACAGCATTTCAGTGCGGAAACAAAATGGGCTCACAATACAAAGCAGTGAAAGAAGGAAATGGTCCCCACATTCTCCTGGTGGATACTGGTGAGAAATTCTGGGAAGGAACCCGACAGAATATCCTGGAAGGAGAAAGCACCAGTTTAGTGGTACAACATCGTCATTCCAGGGAGTTCTGCTACCAGGAGGCTGAGGGACCCCGAGAAGTTTGCAGCCGACTCCACCGCCTTTACCATCAGTGGCTGAAGCCAGAGAAGCACACAAAAGCTGAGATGCTGGACCTGGTGGTCCTGGAGCAGTTCCTGGCCATCCTGCCCCCAGAGATGGAGAGCTGGGTGCGGGAGTGCGGAGCTGAGACCAGTTCCCAGGCGGTGGCCCTGGCCGAAGGTTTCCTCCTGAGCCAGGCAGAGGAGAAGGAGCAGGGAGAGATGCAGGTGAGAATATGAAAAATGTTATTGAATATTTAAATATTTCTTTTGGGGGACTAACAACATCAGGAGAGATCCCATTTCCTCTCTGGACAAATTGTTCCACTGTTCTTTCCTGATAATTTCCAAGGACATGTATGTGAACAGCCCAGTCCTTCTTCTATAGGAGATTGTGGAGTTAGGGTCAAAGAAAAACTATATTCTTTCCCCTCTTCTTTGGCTGCTCTTTCAGGATCAGGAGCCCTACATGCCAGAGGTTGCTGAAACCCCCAAAGCACAGGGGTATATGGCATATCCCTCTCAGGAGCTGATCTTTGGGGAGATCTCCCACAAGGATCAAAACACACCATCAGGTAAGGGGGGCCCTTTCTGATGCAATGGAGTCCTCAGGAGCTTGCATTCCCTGAGTTATTGTTATTTATGCATTTCTTTTGCAATGGTATTACAGCTCTGTGTGCAAAAATGGCCTTTGTGTGTGGGTTTGCTGAATGTGTGTGTGTGTGTGTGTGTGTTTAATGTGTTTCCTCCATTTTTCTCTCTCTCTCAGAGAATGGAAAAACATTGATGGTATCTGTAGGAACTTATCTTCATTGTAGTGGAGAAGAAACATCAGTTGTGCTTTCGACTCAGGTAGACGAAAAATTCCTCCACCTACCCAACGGGGAAATGTCATTTATTCAAGGAGCATCCTAGTCTGTCCAAACTCCTCTCCAGAGCCTGTTCCTTGCATTTTATTACCTCTTATCCAGTTTTCAGAGGCTAAGTATTTTCCTGGTAATTTTCCTTGTCATCCACCAATTGATAGTATTACTTGCTTCTTCCTGGAGGACTTTCCTAACAACTTCATGTAGTTAGTGAATCACTACTGTGTTGATCCCTGAGGGACAACATGAGGCACCAGTTAGAGTACCTGACACAAGTCTCCCAACACTGTTTTGAGGAGGCTACTTTCCAGGAAGGTCTGGAGTCCCTGTTCAATGGTGCATCCAAGGCACATTCCATCAGTTGATCAGAAGAACACCGTGGAGTCTACCATCGAGTGTTTTTGAAGATCCTACAGAATCAGCAAAATTAATAAAATATTGTACAAAATGTGTTATTGGTCAGTTTCTTCTGGGAAAATACTCATGTATTCCAAAGGAAAATTCTGCTGTTGGAATTTATATATTTATATCTGTTTATTAAGAAAGAGAACTTGCAAAAACTTCTGGAGCTGTTCATTAGTAAGAATGTTTCCTTTCTGTTTCAGAATGTCATATCTTTTGAGGATGTAGCTATGTTTTTCTCTGGTGAGGAGTGGGCTCTATTGGATGTTGACCAAAAAGCCCTATACAGAGAGGTCATGCTGGAAAATGCTAGGAATCTGGCCTCCTTGGGTAAGGGATCCTTTGTTTTGAGTTCCAATAGTGAGGGAAGGTATTTTCAAATTAAAAGTATCCAGCTTATCCATATCTCAGAAGAGATGTTGGTCAGTTCTTTTCCTACATTGCCCCTTCCAGTTCTGGTATTCAGGGCTTAAATTTTCATGCTATTTTCTCAGCCAGATTCCAGTCTTGTCCTAATTTGCAATGCTCCCTTAAAAGTTTTCATGTTTCTGGCTATAGTGATGTCATTTGGAACCTCTCAAAATCCAACAATGTTTATTGCAAAGGTTAAATTGAGCTCTATTATCTTGTCTGGTTTCCCAAGAGACATGACCACCAACTAGGTGGCTTTCCCTCCCATTCATCACAAAACAACAAATGCAGGTGACACTTGAGGATAGATAGCCCATTCCCACACTGTGCTCCTGGTTTCTCCAGGAAGTGTAGCCTCATTCAGACCAGGCTGAACCTCAGTTCCCAAGTCCAGTTTCATTGATTTAACTGCAATCTCCTTTCCCTCACTCAAGCTTCCTTGGAACTGGAATATTAAAGAGAAATAACGGCAAAATAAATACCCATCAAGATGGATGGAAATTTAAATGTAAATGGCCTGATAATACAAATATAGAAGCTATGCAATATAAAGTAACAAAAATCACTGTTAAAAAAATTATAATCCCATTTCATGGTACAGAAAGAATGGGAGCAGGGGGAAACCTTGTTAAAGTTGAATGCATTAAATCTTGATTCCTAATGGTACTTTCAGTTTGTACATTAAATGTCCAATAGAATTTTATATTTTCTTTTTGTCCCAAATAGATAATGGACAGGAGAATGAACATTATAAACAGCAAGCTGTGGAATCCTTCCAAGTAATCAGAACTGAAACTATAGAAGAGATGTTTGGAAAAATCCAATGGGAACCCAAAAGCCCTGAGGAAAAGCAGTTAAAAAATAAGGTGGAAAAGGCTGCTACTTCTCAGTGTGCAGAAATCCATACCTTCCTGATCCAACAAGACGACAAAGAAAAAAGAAAGTGTCTAGGATGTAGAAAAATATTTAGAGATAAATCAGAATTATGTGAATACTGCAGAATACATGCGAAAGAAAAACAGTATACATTCAAGGAACACGCACAAAATTTCAGTTGGACTCTGCCTCTTAAATTACATCAAAGCATCCACATTGGAGAAAAAGCATATCAGTGTATGGAGTGTGGGAAAAGCTTCAGCAAGAGTAGTAATCTTAATGCCCATAAAAGAATTCACACAGGGGAGAAACCATACACATGCACAGAGTGTGGAAAGAGCTTTAGTAGAAGCAGTGTCCTTACTGCTCATAAACGGCTCCACACAGGGGAGAAGCCATATAAATGCATGGACTGTGGAAAGAGTTTCACTATAAGCAGTCACCTTACCTCCCATAAAAGAATTCACAGTGGGGAGAAACCATATACTTGCATGGAGTGTGGAAAGAGCTTCAGTATGAGTAGTCACCTTACTTCCCATAAAAAGATCCACAGTGGAGAGAAACCATACAAATGCCTGGAATGTGGAAAGAGCTTCTACGAGAACAGCAACCTTACTTCCCATAAAAAGGTCCACACAGGTGAGAAACCATATAAATGCATGGAGTGTGGAAAAAGCTTTTGTAAGAACAGCAACCTTACTTCCCATATAAGGATACATACAGGGGAGAAACCGTATAAATGCTTGGACTGTGGAAAAAGCTTCAGGTGGAGCAGTGTCCTTAATTCTCATAAAAGTATCCATACAGGAGAAAAACCATATAAATGCCTTGAGTGTGGAAAAAGCTTCAGTGAACGTAGTTCACTTGCATGCCATAAAAGGATCCAGACTGGGGAGAAACCCTATAAATGCATGGAATGTGGAAAGTGCTTCCGTAAAAGTGATAATCTTACTTGCCATATAAGAAAACACACAGGGGAGAAACCATATAAATGTATGGAATGTGCAAAGTGCTTCAGTGACCGTAGTGCTTTTAGATCCCATAAAAGGATCCACACTGGAGAGAAGCCGTATAAATGCATGGTATGTGGAAAGAACTTTAATATGAGCAGTCACCTTACTTCTCATAAAAGGATCCACACAGGAGAAAAACCATATAAATGCATGGAGTGTGGGAAGGGCTTCACTCAGAGTAATCACCTTACTTCTCATAAAAGGATCCACACAGGAGAGAAACCATATAAATGCATGGAGTGTGGAAAATGTTTCAGTGATCGTAGTTCACTTGCTTTCCATAGAAGAATCCATGCAGGTGAGAAACAGTGTTAATTGAATGAGGGAAGAACATCAGCATCTACTTCTCTTTCACATCAAAGGACTCATGATGAGTGAAACCATTAAAATTAATGTGAAGACAACTCTGATACCAATACATTGATAAAGGAACTGTACAGAGTCCTATCCCTATAAATGCATAAAATCAGGACAAATTTTAAGGTCTGTTTTGGTTTGTAATATCTTTTCATCTGTGAAGAGTTTATTTTATAGAATAATCCTATGTGAAAAATTGCTTGCAAATATATTGTTTATTTGAGGTAAGCTGGGCTTCAGATCTTAATAATACCTTGGATTAACTCAATTCTGAAGCTCGATTTACCTCATTGTTTTGGGGGGAGCTTATTTTACTTAAGCATTTGTTATTTGGGGATTTTGATTTTGATGCCTGTTTTACTTTTCAAATTCAATATTTATTAAAGATTTTGGAGGACTTGTGGCTCCTAAAAACTATTTTTATAAATTAGATGAAAGTAATATTGTTAATTATGTGAACTTTGAAATAACCCTTTTGTTAATTATGTGATCTTTTGAGTTATTTTTAAATCTTTGAGAAGTTGCTTTAAATTGTGAAACTATTATTTTTAATCTACTGATTAATCTGGTAGAACATTTTGTTTCATAGATAATGGATGCTTAGAAAATGTCAAATAGTGTTGGTTGCAGAATAGCAATTGCCTTGCATGTTGGAACTGAAATCTAAGAGTTGAATGACATATACAGTATATCTCAAATATAGTATCATTCCTCTTGGATTTATCCCTTGTATTTGGAATGCCATGAAGGCAATCTAGAATTGTGGAGTTACTCTGCAGGGGGGATAGTCAGAAGAATTATTATACAAGATTGGAAGGATATATATACATCTGATTTGCAGCAGTGAATTGCTAACATGTTTACGTGAACATCTGATTTTTTAAAAAAACTTTTTAAAAACGTTTTATTCTCACGAAAGGAAAGGAAGAGGACTCTTAAGTGTAGTGGGCTCTTTTTTTTTTAATTTAAAATTTTTAATGTATAGTTTCAGTAGTTTATTTGGGAAAATTTAACCCAGGAAGCTTCAATTGTCAGTTAGAGAAGACATTTTAATTTTCCAGATACAAATCTGTATCATAAGGTTATTTCTGCTTACTAGAAGCCAGCTTTCATAGGCTATTTTAGAACTGGCATTTTAGAATCCATATGTCTTGCAAGCTGAAGTTAAAGCTGAGATATTTTGAACATACAATGCGAAAGCAAGAGTCACTGGACAAGATTCTGACACTTGAAAAAAACTAAAGGCAATTGTAGAAATGGCCATGGTGGCTAGATAATGTCATTATACATGACATTATATAATGTCATAGATTATATAAGCAGGAGCTTATTGATGGACAGGCATGGTGAAACGATGTCCTTTGGATCACAATGAGTTAGAAGTAATTGAGCAACAACAAAGGTTGTTTCTATCTTGGAAAGAAGGGCACTCCCCTACTTATCAACCTAGGAAATAAATAAATACATTTTAAGGGGGGAGTGATATAAAGTACCATAATGGAGGAATCCAAACCTGAAAATAGCAAGGTAGTTCTTTTGTTGGAAAACCTGAATGGGAATATTCATTCTCCACCAGCTTCATAATAGTCCCTATATTTGTGTAAGCTTTTTATCACCTGGCATCCACACTGGAGGACTCTTTAGAAATTTGGACTGTGTATACCAGTTTTGTATCTAATTTTTCATTCTTTCTATTCTTAAGCACGCTGTATTAAATGTTAATAATTTAATTGTATTATATAAATATATAGTAAGATGGCATGTGATTAGTACATGTTAGATGTACACTTCTTTTTTCATTTTGCATAGAAAAAATAAATACTACAGTATATACATTTTTTACTCTTTCCATACATTTTATAAAATGGTTAGTGAGCACTTGCTATACGTTTTTTTGAAAAACCTTACCTTGTCTCTGTTTTAGCTAAATCATTCGCTTGTGTTATGGGACAGATTTAGATCTTTCAAGTATTGTATGCAATCAGACTTCTCTGAGGACTGTGTATCTTCCTGGAAAGTTTGACACGATTTTTCTTTAAATCATACTCTTACAATTGACACACATTTGAACTCTGGTGTCAGAGAAGACTCCTGAGGATACCACAGATAGCCAAGAAAACAACACATGGATCTTTGAATAACTGAGTTCTTCCCTTTTGTAGGTTCATTTAATGTCGCAACATAGGTATAAAAGGGGTACAGTTTGGGGGACAATGCTGTTGTCATCGTTTCCCCTTCCCCCTTGACCTCCTTGTGGATGCCTCTGGAAAGGAGGACACCTGGCAAAAATAAATAAATTCATTCCAGTCAATCCACTAAGGGGTTATCTTAAAAAGGGTATTCCTCTTCTAAATCTAGATTGTCTACTCCTAAAGTTAATATTGCAAAGAATCAGGAACACAGACTGTCTCCCTCTACCCGATTTTTAAAAGTTCATCTGCATATTCACCTTTTTTAAAAACTGAATAGCTGCCAAAAAACTCAAGAATTTCAGTTTCTACCTGGTGGAAGGAAGGAAGGAAGATTAGAACATAAGCATTGCCTTGCAGGATTGGACCCCTGGCCCATCTAGTCCAGGAGTCTGTTCTCACAGTGGCCACCTGCACAAGGAAGCCCACTAGCCTCACAGCAGATTGTCTTCTGTTTAGCTACATATATGCACTTTGGACATGCTCCTTTTGCCCGTTGATTGTGCAACTTTCAGAGTGCCTTTGAAAGTAGCATCTATGAAGGCATGTAGAATTTCAACAACAGGAACCAAGAGCGTACACTGTAACATTCACGCAGTTACTGCGGGCCTCCCACGAGTGAGGGGAAAGAAGACACCAAACTGATTCTCCTTCGAGGGG